GATAGACCGCTAGCAAGACTAATAAAGAAGAAAAGAGAGAAGAATAAAATAGACGCAATAAAAAATGATAAAGGGGATATCACCACTGACCCCACAGAAATATGAACTACCATCAGAGAATACTATAAACACCTCTACACAAATAAACTAGAAAACCTAGAAGAAATGGATAATTTCCTGGACACTTACACTCTCCCAAGACTAAACCAGGAAGAAGTTGAATCCCTGAATAGACCAATAGCAGGCTCTGAAATTGAGGCAATAATTAATAGCCTACCAACCAAAAAAAGTCCAGGACCAGATGGATTCACAGCCAAATTCTACCAGAGGTACAAGGAGGAGCTGTTACGATTCCTTCTGAAACTATTCCAATCAATAGAAAAAGAGGGACTCCTCCCTAACTCCTTTTATGAGGCCAACATCATCCTGATACCAAAGCCTGGCAGAGACACAACAAAAAAAGAGAATTTTAGACCAATATCCCTGATGAACATCGATGCAAAAATCCTCAGTAAAATACTGGCAAACCAAATCCAGCAGCACATCAAAAAGCTTATCCCCCATGATCAAGTGGGCTTCATCCCTGGGATTCAAGGCTGGTTCAACATACGCAAATCAATAAACGTAATCCAGCATATAAACAGAACCAAAGACAAAAACCACATGATTATCTCAATAGATGCAGAAAAAGCCTTTGACAAAATTCAACAGCCCTTCATGCTAAAAACGCTCAATAAATTCGGTATTGATGGAATGTATCTCAAAATAATAAGAGCTATTTATGACAAACCCACAGCCAATATCATACTGAATGGGCAAAAACTGGAAGCATTCCCTTTGAAAACTGGCACAAGACAGGGATGCCCTCTCTCACCACTCCTATTCAACATAGTGTTGGAAGTTCTGGCTAGGGCAATCAGGCAAGAGAAAGAAATAAAGGGTATTCAGTTAGGAAAAGAAGAAGTCAAATTGTCCCTGTTTGCAGATGACATGATTGTATATTTAGAAAAACCCATTGTTTCAGCCCAAAATCTCCTTAAGCTGATAAGCAACTTCAGCAAAGTCTCAGGATACAAAATCAATGTGCAAAAATCACAGGCATTCTTATACAGCAGTAACAGACAAACAGAGAGCCAAATCATGAATGAACTCCCATTCACGATAGCTTCAAAGAGAATAAAATACCTAGGAATCCAACTTACAAGGGATGTAAAGGACTTCTTCAAGAAGAACTACAAACCACAGCTCAGTGAAATAAAAGAGGACACAAACAAATGGAAGAACATACCATGCTCATGGATGGGAAGAATCAATATCGTGAAAATGGCCATACTGCCCAAGGTAATTTATAGATTCAATGCCATTTCCATCAAGCTACTAATGACTGTCTTCACAGAATTGGAAAAAACTGCTTTAAAGTTCATATGGAACCAAAAAAGAGCCCACATTGCCAAGAAAATCATAAGTCAAAAGAACAAAGCTGGAGGCATCATGCTACCTGACTTCAAACTATACTACAAGGCTACAGTAACCAAAACAGTGTGGTATTGGTACCAAAACAGAGATATAGACCAATGGAACAGAACAGAGCCCTCAGAAATAATACCACATATCTACAGCCATCTGATCTTTGACAAACCTGACAAAAAACAAGAAATGGGCAAAGGATTCCCTATTTAATAAATGGTGCTGGGAAAATTGGCTAGCCATAAGTAGAAAGCTGAAACTGAACCCTTTCCTTTCTCCTTATACGAAAATTAATTCAAGATGGATTAGAGACTTAAATGTTAGACCTAAAACCATAAAATCCCTAGAAGAAAACCTAGGTAATACCATTCAGGACATAGGCATGGGCAAGGGCTTCATGTCTAAAACACCAAAAGCAACAGCAACAAAAGCCAAAATTGACAAATGGGATCTAATTAAACTAAAGAGCTTCTGCACAGCAAAAGAAACTACCATCAGAGTGAACTGACAGCCTACAGAATGGGAGAAAATTTTTGCAATCTACTCATCTGACAAAGGGCTAATATCCAGAACCTACAAAGAACTCAAACAAATTTACGAGAATAAAACAAACAACCCCATCAAAAAGTGGGCAAAGGATATGAACAGATATTTCTCAAAAGAAGACATGCATACAGCCAACAGACACATGAAAAAATGCTTGTCATCACTGGTCATCAGAGAAATACAAATCAAAACCACAATGAGATACCATCTCACATCAGTTAGAATGGCAATCATTAAAAAGTCAGGAAACAACAGGTGCTGGAGAAGATGTGGAGAAATAGGAACACTTTTACACTGTTGGTGGGACTGTAAACTGGTTCAACCATTGTGGAAAACAGTATGGTGATTCCTCAAGGATCTAGAACTAGAAATACTATATGACCCAGCCATCCCATTACTGGGTATATATCCAAAGGATTATAAATCATGCTGCTATAAAGACACATGCACACATATGTTTATTGCGGCACTACTCACAATAGCAAAGACTTGGAATCAACCCAAATGTCCACCAGCGACAGACTGTATTAAGAAAATGTGGCACATATACACCATGCGTACTATGCAGCCATAAAAAAGATGAGTTTGTGTCCTTTGTAGAGACATGGATGCAGTTGGAAACCATCATTCTCAGCAAACTATCGCAAGAACAGAAAACCAAACACCACATGTTCTCACTCATAGATGGGAATTGAACAATGAGATTACTTGGACTCTGGAAGAGGAACATCACACACTGGGGCCTATTATGGGGAGGGGGGTGGGGGAAGGGATGGCATTGGGAGTTACACCTGATGTAAATGACGAGTTGGATGGGTGCTGACGAGTTGATGGGTGCAGCACACCAACGTGGCACAAGTACACATATGTAACAAACCTGCACATTGTACACATGTACCCTAGAACTTAAAGTATAATAAAAAAAAGAAAAAATATATAGTTCTTTGTTAATAACCAAAATTGTATTGTTTTACAAGATAATTTTTTTATTTTGTATTATTTCTTTCTCATATCTTTTTATATAAGTTTCTGTCCTGTTCCAAGTTCAAATCAAGACTCTGCCACATCTGGTCGGCCCTGGCCAAGTTGCTTCATCTCTCTGTGCCTTATTTCCCTCCACTGGAAAATGTGAATACTACTAGCAGTTACTCTGCAGAGCTGTTGGGAGGATTAATGTTGTTTATTACATATGTAAAGTGCTTAGAACAGCAACTGACCTGTAGGAAGGACCAAATGAATATAAACCATTATTATAGCTTTTTAAAAATGTCATATTGAAGCATTTCTTCCTGACACTTCAGTTACCTTCAATGAATTTGGAAAACCCCTTATTTTGATTCCCTCTACATTTTCTACCACCAGGAAAAGTCTTTCTGCCCTACCAGTGCTGTGATAGCATCTTGAATATGCCTCTATGAAAGCACATGCTGGCATCCACATTCTCCCTAAGCTGTGAGCTGAGACCACAGCCCATTCATCTCTGTATGCCATCACGCCACTAGTGCTGTGCCTGCTGCCTGGTGAGCCTTCCACAAGCCTTTGCCAAATGAACAGGTAAATGTTGCCAATGTACTCAGCACATGACTAGTGTCTGGGCTCATCCCTTTGTGTTGCTTCTCACTGGCTTCTATTTCGAAGGGTGGCCTTTTTGTGAACTCCTGCCCTCGTTCTAGAATACATTCTCTTCTGAGCAAACAGTTCCCATCTCCACTTAGCATCCACACCCTTCCTTCCCTTGGAGCCAAGGAACCGTATTACATTAACAGGCATGCTTATTCTCAGAGGTGCTTCCCTGGGATGAGGTGTAAATTAATGCCAGCCTGACCACTCCGGGTCATTAAAGACCAGATGGTAATTTTTGCAAGAGGAGCAAATGAACCCTACTAGTCTGGCCCAAATCCAACCTGGATAATTTCCTCCTGACTACACAATATCCCCCGTCTCATTTCAGACACAGAAATGATTTTTGCTTCATCCTCAGAAAGCTCGCCAGGCAGGGCCAGGCTGGCTTCTCACCCCACCACTGTTGCATGGATGCAGGCTAGCAATGCAGCATTCATCTGGGGGGTCCGCGAAGTGCTCTGGGGCAAGTAGGGCAACGTAAATCTAAGGCTTTAATCATATATTTGGAAAAATAAGACTTAGTCAACTTGAATGAAAACACTTCATCTTCTAGTGCATTTTTAAATGTTTTAAGCTACAAGAGTGACCAGAAGTTTATTGCACCTACAAAAAAAAGGGGGAGGGTTTAATTTGGACATGAATTGTTTTTGTTAAAATCATAGAAATAATGGCTTATTCTCAGTCTAGGTAGTCCCTGGAATGGATCCGCTTTTGACATTCAAGCTACGTAAAGTAGTCGTGGATGGGTCTTCACTGGAGCAAATCCCATTACTTATTACTACGGAGAGAAGTTGGGGGATATAACAAGAACCATGGATGCATGCTCAGCATGCTGCTGCTTGCATAGAGGAAGAACTGATTGGCAGACTGGATGGAACTGATCAGGTTGACTATGATATATCCAGGGCCAAATGCCAAGGTCAAGAACACCCAGGGTGGATCTGATTGGCACAAGGCAAACAGATCAAGCACAAGGCATGAGTGAGTGAGGGCTGATTAGGAACATCATTCCCCATAGGCCTGCAGGTCCTGACTCCTCTGCATGAGATTATCCAGAGCACACTGAATTCACTCGACGCATGGTCAAAGTCCCTAAAGTAGTTTATGATTATGTATTGGCTTGCCACTCTTGGAAAAACCTGTGGCTCAGAATTCTCCACAACTCCCTTTGTGTCGTTAGCCAGAGATATGGTTTGTATGGAATGGGCTGAAGCATATTTTCTGAACCCAGATAAACGTCAGGCAGTCTCAGAAGACCACGCATAGCTTATTGCAGGAACGTAGGGAAGCACTGACTTGCCCACAAACGCATTCTCTTCATCGGTAGACTTGGCTCAAGTGTGGCTCGGAGAAGCTATGTCTTGACTCAAGCTAATACTTAGTAATAAAGCTTCCTGGGAAAGGAAGACTGCCAAAGTTTAAGTGGTGGGTTTTTATGACCAGGATTATGGTCCATTAAGGGACGAGGATGAAAACACCAGCTTGTTTCATTTTGATCTCTTCTCTAGGCCGAACCACCATCCTATTTCCAATTAAAGTCCCACAAGAAAAATGCTGACGTTTCTCCTCCAGAAACAATCCTCCTGGCTCTTTCCCAAAAAACCCACCATCATCTGAAGCCACATCCTCACAGCATCAGGATTCTGCAGTTTTGTTTTCTCCAAGAGAATAAATGGCCTATAAATAAAATGAGCATTCATTGATTTTTTTTAATGAGAAAAGAGAGCACATGAAATCTGTTCAATCTGAATGGGATGTGGAAACAGTGTTCCCTTCACTGATGGAGAATGAGAGTCCTTCCCATTGATGATCTTGGCTTCGTGCTGAGAAGGGGTACATCAGCACCTAACTATTACAGTGAAACCACATGACCATGAAACATTATTCAGCTTCCACATTAACCTTGCCCTGTGGCTCAGGAAATGAGAGTGAACAACCTTATTCCTTCAGTAGTTCGTTCCAACAATGACTGCCATGCATGGCAAAGAAAGGCTCCTTCACTTCCAGATGTGGTCCGGTCATTTTTGAGACCAAGGTGCACAGGTGTCATAAGGGCACTCTAGGCAAATCCTACTGGGTAACAATACTGGGATGGAGAAATTAAACAACTATTCAACTATTTAGGAAGGCTTGGATCTGTCCCACATTTCAAAGGATGTCAATGTGATAAACTATTCTTTGGACTTTTCCAATAATAAGTCTTTAAAAATAGCTTTGCATCATGTATTGAAATAAATTTCAGTCTAACCAAAGAGATCTCATATGTATATAAGGAATCTCTCAAAAGCTATTCAAAAGGAGGTAAAAATGAATAATAATAAACTATTTTTATAAGAAATATTGAAGAACCCTATCAAGAAAAATATCTAATAGGTTGTAAAATAAAGTCATCTTTAGGTTAATACAAGAAAGCCCAAAGAAAGATAAGCGAATTTCTCTTTAAGAATATTTTCATCAAGCCAAGAGATTTCAAATAAATCCAAACTGAAAACAAAACAAAATGGAAGTTCTAACATCACTTGGCTTATGTGTGTCCTGTCAACACTTATTACATAACACATTCACCTATTTCTGAACACATAAAAGGAAAATATCCTTCATGGACAGCCAGACCAAATGTTTGTTAATGGAAAATTAAGGACAAATGCAAATTTTTGCAACAACTATAATTTGGCTCAAATTGTTTTTCTGTCTCTCCTCTCCTTCCTATGGCCCACCCCAGGATACATTTATCCCAAATGATTGTTTGGTTTATCTTCATATAGCAAGGCATGCGAGGCATGATATGTCCAATGGGAAGATTTTCCTTTTTTCTTTACCCATGCTTTAAGATTTTCTAGGGCCTGGGGGGAAGGAAGATGTCTGTGGGCTGTGGGCTGTGGGCTGAGGTTATCCCCTGGCTGGGAGTTGGATGAAGAATTCCTCTTTAGTCGGAACGCCTTCTTCCAGAAGGTGTTCAGAGGGGACAGAGGTGACATACACTGAACCTAGAGGCTTGATGCAATCGAAATTTAAACTTGCAATCTGCTTTTATGTAATTACAGATAACAGATAAGCTGCAAATGGCCACCAAAAACATCTCTTTCAAGTTACCATATCCTAAAGATGACTAAATGAACTGCTGGAATTTTCAGGGAGAATTAATATTTAATGGGAGGTATCTTAGTCTGCTCAGGCTGCCATAACCAAGTACCATGGACTTGGGGGCTTGAACAATAGAAATTCGTTTTTCCACTGATCTGAAGGCTGGGAAGTCCAAGATCAAGATGCCAGCAGAGTTGGTGTCTGATAAGAACTCTCTTCTTGGGTTGCAGATGGCCACTTTCTCACTGTTTCTTCACATGGTGAAGAGAGAGAGCAAGAGGAAAAAAGGAGAGAATGACTGCTCTGATGTCTCTACTAATAAGGACACTAATTCTATCCATCAGAGCCCCACCCACATGACCTCATCTAGCCTGAATTACTTCTATAATGGCCTTGTCACCAAATACAGTCACATACTTAGTGGTTGGAGCTTCAATCTACTAATTTGGTGGGAAGAACAAAGTTCAGTCCATGGTAGAGGGGTAATATTCAAAATATTTAACCACTGATACAGGCCCCAACCAATCAGAAGAGATGCTTACCACATCTGCCAGCTGGACTGCTTCATGCAAGCTGAGTATTAGCTCTGCCCTATGAACCTGGAAAACAAAAAAAAAGCAGTTTTCCTCTTGACCTCCTCCTGGAAAAGTCTCCACTGTGTATTTAAAAGATGGCTCTGGCCAGGTGTAGTGGCTCACACCTGTAATCCCAGCACTTTGGGAGGCTGAGGAGGGCGAATCACTTGAGATTGGGAGTTTGGGACCAGCCTGGCCAACATGGTGAAACCCTGTCCCTACTAAAAACATTTTTAAAAATTAGCTGGGTGTGGTGGCAGACACCTGTAAGTCCAGCTATTTGTGGGGGCTGAGGCAGGAGATTCACTTCAACCCAGGAGGCTTAGGTTGCAGTGAGCTGAGATGGCCCCACTACACTCCAGCCTGGGCGACAAAGTGAGATTCTGTCTTAAAAAAAATAATAATAATAATAATAATAATAATAATTAAAAAAATAAATAAAAGATGGCTCCTACATAGTGCATTGCCCAAAATAATGTAAAAATAGGTCTTATCCATTCCTGCATGGAAGTAACATGTTGCTTTATCAATATAAATATATTTTAATTTATCAATCTATTAATAGTGTTTATCTGGGGAGAAGAAAAATGTAGGAAGCATTCATTGTATAGATTGTATAGTTTTATCATGTGCATGTATTATTTTGTAATCAAAAAGCAAGCTTTCAACCTCTTTTAATTTGTAAATATGCCCACTCTTTAGTCCTTAAAATCCTAAAAAAAAAAAAATCAACTACACTAGTTTTGCCTGTGGTTTTTCCTGTTGGAATTAAACTATTGCATGAAGAGATGTATCTGTACTAAACATAAAAACAACTTTTTTCATTCATGTGGATAGTTTATTTCTTGTTCCAGAGTTCACTTTTTTTAAAAATGTCAAAAATGACAAATTTCTAAATGAGAAATTGAAAATGTTTACAAAGACCATTCTAATGGCATTCAAAAAGTGGCTGTCAGGAGGACCCCAGCCACTCTTTAAGCATGGTTACAGTCTCTCTCCCCTAAATAATGAACTCACCCCTTTTCTTCCTCAGCATTTGAAGAATGAAGTCTTATTTCCCCAAAAGGTGATGTTATGTCCACAAGGAAGACAGCCCAGATCGTGTTTCCACACGGGTTTCCTGCATGATATCTGTGTTAGTCTCACAAGCTACACTGCAAGATACTTAGTATGCCTCCCAGTAAACACTAGAATCACTGTCTGGGCATTATGACATTTACTAATTATCCCTGGGGTGTAGTCCTCCTGAGGACGACTGCATCTAACCAAGCTAGACCACTTATAGTATCCAAAACATTCCATGCAATGCTGTGCCTCTGGACTCATTACATATTCTGTTTCTTGTAATTGAAATGTTCATCTGACCTTTCTTCTTTGTCTATTGAATTATTATTCACCCTTTCTAACTTTGTAAAGGCTTTCCCCATTCTCCTCATGCCACATCTCCCATGCCCAGCTTTGAATATTGCATTTCATTAGCCAATGAGTTTATATACAAATAACTCAAAACCTGAATAACAATGGCTTTCAACCAAAAGACAAATAAGTCTGAAAGGGAATCAATTCAATACTGTTTCAGTAGCTCAATTTTATTATTCAAAACTCATGCCTTTTCCTTCCTTCAATCAACCATCATCAGTATGTTGGCTTTTCATCCTTTTGCTAATTGACTCATGGTTGCAAGGTGGCTGCCAGAACTCTAACATCATGCCCTCACACCACTGTCCCAGTTAAGCAGGAAGGAGATTATCAGAAGAAACATGCTTTTTTCATCTGGGAAGTAAATCTGCACTCACAGACATCTCCCTGTGTCTCATTAGCCACAACTGTTCCACAAGAACATGCCCCAAAGAGGCTGAGTGAGAAAGTGAGACTGCATTAAGGGATAGTATGATACTATGATTGGCTTAGCCACAAAGTATTTTATACTTTATGGCTGGCCATATTCACACACACACACACACACACACACACACACACACACGCGCGCCAATCAAGGTGCTGAAGGTAAGGTAAGGAGAAAGGGAAGAATGGCAGTTCAGCAGGCATCTCACAGTGCCTGCAAACTTGTGAATCTCTCTCTGTAGGGCATCTGCAAACCAAGAAATGAGGGATTGGGTCTTATTCGCTTTGGATTCCTCAGACTCCAGCAGAACAATAAAACAAAGTTTTCCTCTGGGAACAGAGTTTGGATTCAGCTGCCACACCCAACAAAAGGCAACGGGTATACCTGGGATCAAGACCAGGTCCCAACCATCTCTCTGTAATTCCAGTCCTTTCTTTCTCTCTCAAGTAAGTCTGCAGCTCAGTATCCCTCAGCGATACCGGCCCACTCTATATATAACTAGATGATGATAGTAAAATAACTGTTTATATTTTACATAGCACTTTGGAAGGCCTTTTGTTTAACCCTAACGTCTACCCTGAAGGTAAATAGTATGATCCCTATTTTACAGAGAGGAACACAGGCTCAAGGAGGGTAAGGGTGGTTGCCCGAGTCCACGAAGCTTAAGGCAGCAGGTATGAGGCTGCATCACAGGCCACCTGACTGTATGTCTGCTTCAGTCACTCTCTGCCCCTCACACACCCTGGGGCTGCTCTGAGCTAGAAGTAAGCAAAATCTTGGGCAAGACTCCATGAAATTCCAGACCCTCACCATCCCAAGAGGAATAAGCTCCCTATCGCCATCCAAGCTCTTACAGAATGAGCCCAGTGTCTACACTACAGGAAAGAGACAAGAAATAGTCTTTCTGTCTCCACCTGGGAATGACTGACACATTGCAAGAGAAGATTTCAGGGTTTCATATGGACCCAATACAAACGACCCAACCTCTTCTAAAAGTAGAGAAGCGAGTGTAAGTGTTTGGTTAGGATAATAAAATCCAATGAATAGTAAATAAACATGCTTATTGGCAGCCCAAAATGGGTTGACTCCCAAACAAAATGCAAAATCAGACCTTGCTGTCTAACAGAAAACTAAGCCATGTCAGCAGCTACTTTATGAAATAAATATAAAAACAGACTCACACATTATTCTGAGATAACAGACACAGGTTCTTTTTAGATTTAAATCATGTGCCCTATTATTAAAAGCATTAATAGAAATGTTCCCTGAATGTTTACAAGGTGTTTACTCAGTTTCTATACTGAAAGTCACGACATCTTGGTACTGAAAATATTTCATGCCCAACAGTTACACAAAACCACTATTTCTTCGGTTTATAGCCCCTCTTAATCTCTTTGTGGAAATCTCCAGACCTCAACTACATTCCTTGAAATTTTACAGGGCACAAGAGGAACAGAAATCAGCTCAAAATGAATATGTGTATTCAGAAATGCATTGAGATTTTTCCAACTTTTCAGGTACCTCATACAAATTAATCTTCTTAAGGGCCCTGGTGGTCTCTGAATCACTGCTTCACTTCCCCACTTCTCAGCACCCCCATTGTATTCTCTTGATAGGAATAACTGCCAGATCATTAGGGAAGAAAAAGTTTATTGAGTCAAGATCTGGGAGGGCCCCCACAAGGTCAGGAGCAGGTACCACCAGTTTTACATAATTTTTGCATCTGCACCAATTTGATTTAAGGTTATAAGTGGAATTTATTGTTGAGTATTGTATTATAAAAAAGTAGTTTATACCATATTGTCTCATATTTATTATGATTCAGTCAAAAGTGAATTGTACACATGCTGTCTGCAATGAGCTGATACAATGGGGAAAAAAAATCCTGGCTGTCAAAAAACACATTTGTTCTCCTTTCCATTGTCTTTAATGGTTTACTTAGGTGAAAGAAAAATTGTTTTAATGTTAAAACTGTATCTTTTCCTGTGGCACTAATCACCAAATTGAAATTATTAGAATTTTTAAAAAGCAGAAGGAAGTTGAACATGATGTGTTAGGATAATGGCAATAGAGAAAAATAGAATTGTTTGAGTGAAACGCGTAAAATAAAGAAATTATTTAGGATCTGCAAGAAGAAAACAAATGTGTAGAAGTGCAGGATAAACCATTCTGTAATTTCAGGCTTCTAACAAAAACAAAAACAAAGTCACTCACTTACCATTTCTTGTTTAGACTGTATCTCTAGGAAGAAAAGGGAATTGATGTCTACTCTCTCAAGCAGGGTGAAAATTGAGAGTAACTTAATGGCCACTGGAAACTTCCCCAGGTTTGTTTGTTTGTTTGTTTGTTTATTTTAGGGATAGATTCTCACTCCGTCACCCAAGCTGGAGAGCAGTGGTGCGATCATAGCTCACTGCACCCTCAACCTCCCCAGCTCAAGTGATCCTCCCACCTCAGCCTTCCAGGTAGCTGGGACTACAGGCACGCACACCATGCCTGGCTAATTTTGTGTATTTTCTGTAGAGAAAATACACCATGTTGGCCAGGCTTTTCTCGAACTCATGGGCTCAAGAGATTCTTCCGCCTTGGCCTCCCAAAGTGCTAGGATTACAGGTTTGAGTCACCGCGCCTGGCTGCAGATTCTTTTTTAGAAGGCAAACTGGCCATTATTATTTTTTTCTATACCAACCCTGCTACTATTTCCCAGAAATTTCAAAATTTCTGGTTGATGTATCTAAATTAGTAATTCCATCATTCCAAGAGTGAATTACACACTTTAAGCTCATGGGAACATCAGAATCCCCTCTGAGACTACAACCAGATTCCAGGATCTAGCTTACTCCTCCTTTAATGTGTCCTTAGTCATGGTTGTAATATTACTGGAGTGCAAAAGAGCACTAAAAAAAAGTTTTTTTTTTTTTAATTTACTTCTTGGTCGATTGCTGAGACTCATGACCAGAGGCGCCCCTAGTGGCTGCCTCAGGATAGGGAGACTGATTACCGTTTGGCCATTTTTTTTACCCAATTCTTTTATAAAGGTCTCACATAATCTCACAGGTGCACTTAATGTTTTTCGTTCGGCTTAGTTTGATTTCCTCTGCCTCTTACCATTCACCATGTGCTTCAATACCCTAAATGGCCGTTTTTAATATGTATAAATAAAATAATACCATGTCTGGGACTTGCCTCAAAACATGCCAGAGGGACCTGTAATTGAAACAAGGTTGGCCATGACTGGTCATCTTCCAACCTGGGTGATGAGTACAAAAAGGGTTCATTATGCCTCTCTCTCTACTTCTGTACATGTTTAAATCTATTTTCCAATACAATTTATGTAAATATTGTTGTTAAGAAGTGTTATCATTCTGGTTTGGGGGGTTTGGGTTTTTTTCTCTTTTGTTTTGGAGAATTTACATGTAGCTTTCTCCTGGACAGCCAGGCTAATTAATGATCTGGTTTACTCTGGGTGGCTGTAGGAGGGTGGCCGTTTGCTAAGAGTCGGGATACAGATACTTCATTTTATTCTACACAGAGACTGCTACTGATCCATGAGCCAGAGCCAATGCTGAGTTTTATAAAACCCACACGTGGAATTCCCTTATAGGTAGAATTCCATCTGCTGTTCATGAAAGGCTGGTTGGAAAGAAGATGGGCCACCCTTGGCTCTCCCTACCCCAAACCTGCTCGTCACTTAGGCAGAGAAGAAGAGGCACTTCAAGTCCATGGGGGGAAGGGGGATGAAAGGGAAGTGGCACAAGAGACACCTGGTTCCCAAGGAAACTTAACTCAAAAGTGGAAGGCTGAGACCACACTGGGTGTCAGTCATCAGCCTGACAAACAGTGGGTTAACTGAGACTGTTCTAATTTGAAACACTGAGAATTGGAGGCCCAAGAGAATGATAGTATCTGGCAAATATATCCTGAATTAAAATGAATCTCACTTTATTCCTTCCCTTTCCCCTGGAAAAACAACTCTTTAGTTGAAGGATCTCCAAGGTTTTCTTGATTTTCAAAATTAATCTCTCTCTGGATCCGTTACTAGAATGCAGAGAGTGCAATTATTCCAGAATCATTTGCTTTTTCAGGGCTCTGAAGACTGGAAAGTCGCTGTGTTCTCATTGCAGCTCAGCTCTCCATTAGACCAGCCTCAGAAAATGTTAATAATTAGAAAGGAGCTGGGTGCCTGTCTGAGGCTTTGTTTCTTTGTATCTTGAATGTTTTCTCTGTAGTGTTGATACTAAAACCTGCTCCATTTCTATAAAATCAGAGCCATC